CAAAACTTCCGGATTGAAGGCCGCAAGAATCACCTGCAAATCACCATTGGTTAAAGTCAACAACAGTTTGACCGCCGAGGGACGGTCGGTCCTTTCAAACTGCCATGTACCAACGAATGCGTTAATTCGATGCTCCATGCGTCTCTTGATGAGAGCTCTCAAAACTCGGTGCTTTTCCGTCTGGTCCACTAAGTCAGCATTGTCGATCGAAAAGCGTTCCATGACCAGACCTCGATCCTTATAGTTGAGCCGACTGAGGAGCTCTTTGGTGGGGATCTCGGGCAAATCCCAGAGATTGACAAAAGCTTGGGTCTTCTGGTCAAAGTACACCTGTACGAACCTTCGCAAAAGCGCCTCCTTGTCCACGCCGTTAGTCAAGGCCGGTTCGAATGCTGTAATGATAACGCCCAAGTCGTACGAGGTGAGATCCAGCAGAACCGCAGTAGCAGCGTCCTGGTCCAACTGATGCTTTGCGATGAATGACGCGATGAGGAGGTCTTTCTCGGGCATCTTATGAGGCGTAGAGCAGCTACTCTTCACACCTGGTGATAAGACCAATGGAACCATTGACGACAAACGAAGCCACTACAAGCCGGACCACAGTATTATTCACTAGAAAACACAAATAGAACTATGGAAGTTGAGATACACCACGAGAGAGGCATAAAACCAACCCAAGTGTCCGAGGAGTTACCCAAGGTCAGCAATGCCCACACTTAGGCCGTACATCTAGGCTAAGCAGAACTAGGCGTGACTGACAGCGTCATCATCAATCACCGAACCTTGCATCGCTCCGCTAACGACCAGTTCTATTTCTTTTGGGACTCGCTACGGATAGGTGTCGGGCCATGGTCTCTCCTCCTGAACTATGGAACCTCCACTAAGCGGGCGAACTCGACGTAGAATAGGATTATTCTACGACAACTGCCGGCTCCAAGTGGTGGCGAAATATAAAACACTTCTAGGCAGTCGGGACGGGTCGAACTTCGACCGTCGAAGTGGATGTCACTGAGCCACCTGGTATGGTATTAAGACAGGACGTGTTAGGAAGAGGAGCCGATCTCCATGAGGAATGCTCAGGGTTGATGTTATCCATTCAAAAGTGTGTTTGGGCGCGCGCGATCGACATCAGCGCACTTTGACAACCGCTGAACGGCCTGACGCAGTGTTCGAATTGAATACTGAGGACCTGTGGTAGCATACATATCCATACCAAGGAAGAGGAAACCAACACTGCAAACAGTCACTAATAGCTGCTCTCTTTTATCATCGATTTCGGTCCTTGTGGGTTCCTCCTGAACTGTACTAGAGACCGATTGAGGACGGTACCATGGTACTTGTTCGGTCTTGACAGTGGAAGCCTCTCCTCCATTTGTGGTGTCCTCCTACGTGGGGCTGCCACTCAGTGATGATGACCACTCAAGGCGACGACGCTTGGCAGCAGCAACAACAAGAGGACGCTGCCGCTTTACGGAAACAGTTTCCAGATGATGATCTAGAATGGGATGGTACTCATCCGGGCCTATTTTGAATCTTACCATCCTCGACCTAAGATACGCATCAACTAGGTGAGTCGCATCTAGCCCGGCAAGGGTCACGATACGTGATCTCTCCAGAAAACACCAAGAGGATCACTTGGGACTGCTTTCTTATGTCATTCATCTTATACGAAGTAAGCTCACTCAGTGTTGGAATGTATCCTCTCAGGAGTTCCCAGAGTTATGGTATGAAACCAACAAAAA